CTGAACTTTTCCCTCTTGTAGGTAACTATAAACATTTTGTTAACTGGTAGATGGCCTACAAGAATCGCTTTTCTTTCCAGTCTCAATCCTGAACTACCAGACTTGGCCTGCCTACCACAAGTGGTCTCCATGAAGCTGTAGTAAGTAGAATTGAAGAGGATCAAAGAAAGGGATGGAATTAAACACATAAAGATTGCTTACAACTTCTATGAGAATCAGTCTTTTCAGGTGAAAAAAAAAAAAAAGGGCAGGCACAGGGGAATAATGTAATTCACACTATCTACCCGATAGGGTTGTTATTGGGAGAGCATTTTTGTAAGTCTTCTATGTGAATGTTAAGGGGAATTATTATCATGGAATAGAAGATGGCCATTGGGGAAAAGATTTTAAATGTTAAATTTCCCAAGGAAAGGAAACTGGATTTGCACATTGTTTCTAAAGATGCCTTTTCCTCAAAGTCCAACTCTCACAGCCATACATTGCTACTGGAAAAACCATAGCTTTGACTATATGGACCTTTGTTGGAGAAGTGATGTCTCTCCTTTTTATTATGCTGTCCAGATTTACCATTGCTTTCCTTTCAAGAAGCAAGCGTCTTTTAATTTCATGGCTTCAGTTGCTGTCTACAGTGATCTTTGAGCCCAAAAATATAAATCTGACCCTGCTTCCATTTCTTCTCTCTCTGTTTGTCAGGAAGTGATGGGACCAGTTGCCAAGATCTTAGTTTTTGGATGTTAAGCTTCAAGCCAGCTTTTACACTCTCGTCTTTCACCCTCATCAAGAGGCTTCTCAATTCCTCTTCACTTTCTGCCATCAGAGTGGTATCATCTGCATATCTGAGATTGTTACTATTTCTCCTGGCAACTTTAATTCCAGTTTTTGATTCATCCAGCCTGGTATTTCACATGAAGTACTCTGCATCTAAGTTAAATAAATGAGGTGATAATATACAGCCTTGTGGTATTCCTTTTCCAATCTTAAACCAGTCAGCTGTTCCATGTTTCGTTCTAACTATTGCTCCTTGGCCCGCATACAAGATCCTCAGGAGGCAAGTAAGACGATCTGGTGCTCCCATCTCTCTGAGAACTCACCACATCTTGCTGTAATCCACACAGTGCAAGGCTTTAGTGTAGTCAATGAAGCAAAAGCAGATGTTTTTTCTGGAACTCCCTTGCTTTCTTAATAACCTAGCAAATGCTGGAGCAAGCAACAGCAGCATAGATTTATTACTGAAACCTGGGTCCCTCCTGATGGCACAGCCTCCCTGGCCTCCCTTTCTAGTACAGGCTGTACCTGTACTCATTCCCCTCAGCTGGCCAAGGAAGGGGAGTTGGAACACTCCTTGCTCCCCACTTCACTTCCAGGTTCTCCCCCTTCCTCCATCACCCAATAACCTTTCCTGCTTTGAGGTTTATGCTATTCATATCTTCCACCCAATCAAAATCCTGTTGTCTACTAGACACCTCACCCCCTCTGTTCACTCCAAAATCTTCCTCAATGAGTTGGGTACATGGCTCCCTCCTCCCCAACTTCTGCTCTCATACTTAGGAACTTCAACATACATAATGATTCTCCCTCAAACTAACCACTTAGATGCATGACCTACCCTTGCCTCATAAGCTAAGTCCTCCACTCCTCCCTTAGCCATACACAAAGATCTTGCCATCCATCACCCACAAATGTACTATTTCCATGTATAAAAATTCTGAAATCCTCTTGTCTGAACAGAATCTATTGGCTTTTAACATCTCCCTCTGCCATTACTTACAAAACCCTACTGTATCCAAACCATGACCTCCAGTACATCAACCCCTCAATTCTCTCCCAGGCCATTTCCTCTACACTAGCCACTCCCTCTGCTTCCATCTTGACGCTTGATAAACCAGGTCAACCCTATACTGTCTTCTTCTCTTGAATCCCTACCTCCCTTATCTTGTAAGGGGTATTCACCCATTATACCCAGCTATGCCTCAGCCTTGGATCATTCCCATCATCCACTGACTTTACTCCTACAAATGTGCTACTGAATGAAAATGGAGAAAATCATGTACCCTTTGTGACTTGCCTATTTCACAGGATTATTAGGCCAGTGTTTTTTACACCCTAAAAGCAGCATATAAATGGTTTGGTTGGCAACTCTAATTATCTTTGTAATTTCTGACATGCCTAAAATCATGAGAGGATCACAGATTCACTGAAGTATCTTCAGAAAGCGTGATGAGTTAGCTGGTCTCCACTGTAGAGACTTCCAAGTTATCCTAGCATGACTTAGAATGGATCTTTTCTCCATTTTTTCTGTGTTCAGTTCCAGTCATCCCCATTCATGGGCAAAAGTTGGGCATGGTCAACAATATCTCCAAGGTCTCATTCAGCTCAAACTCTACAGTGTGCCTGAGCAGGTAAATAGGCAAAAGGCATTTAACTGATGGTTTTGTGATTCTAAGAGGGAGAGTGAGGGAGACTGATAGCTACTTCTTTGCCTTCTAGTTGGCTGGCTTATGTGGTAGAGCTTACAGGTCCTCGGAGAGGCTCTAATTGGAAGGAGATCTCTCTGCCAGGACTAAGTTGGGGGTGGAGGAAAGACACAGGTTAAGCCTTTTCCTCTTCTAATACATCAGAGACAACTTTCTAGAATTCCCCACATTTGTACCTTAATGCTCTCATTTCCCTTGGTTTGGGTCTTCTCTTGACCATCAGACAAGCAACTCCTCATTGTCATGGTAGATATCTTTATGAGGTGCTGTGGCCCAAAACATTGGAAAAAACTTGTCACCTGGTGACCAACCTTCTAACGATGAACCTGAGGGTGGGGTGGGAGAAATACAGGCTAGACGTGGAATTGACAAAAGTTGCAGGGCCCTGGTATAAGGGAGCGAGTTTCCCCCACTCCATTCCATTCAATTTAGCAAACATTTATTAAATGCCTATTATGTACACAAGAACTCATTGTACCAAAACTCCAAATAGTTTCTGCCCCAAAGTACCTTACAGGCTACAAATATCCTGAGGGAGTTCATTGGAGAGTATATTCCAGACATGGGAAATAGAATATCATGTATAGGGATCAACTAATTAGCCATTTTGACTGGAAAAGAAATCGAGAAGGGGTGGACTAGAAAGGTAGATGGGAGAGGATTTCAAATTGTAGGCCCATGAGGAATTTGCATTTTATCCTAGAGGCAATAGGAAGCCATTGAGGACTTGTGACTGTATCTTAGGGATATCAATTATGTGACTTGGTGGAGAATAGGTTGGAAAGTGGAGAGACTGAAAGTAGGGAAACCTGTCAGAAGGCTATTGCAATAGTTCAGGTAGAGATCAAGTCAAGCCAATTAAACAAGCATTTATTAAGCTCTTATGCCAGGCACTGTGCTAAGTGCTAGGGATACAAAAAAAAAAAAAAAAAGATGTGTATGCTCTAAAGGATCTCACAGTCTAAGGGAAGGAGGGGGAATACAAGATGCAAACAACTATGTATAAACATGATATAGGTAGGATAAATTGGAGGTAATTTCCAAGGGAAGGCACTAGATTTAAGGGGAATCAGGAAAAGCTTCCTGTGGAAGGTGGTATTTTAGTTGGGAATTGAAACTAGGGAAGCCAGGAGGTGGAAATGAGGAAGAAGAGAATTCCAGGCACTGGAGACAGCTAGTGAAAATGCTAAGGTAGCCATGCACTGAAGAGGCATCGCCATCATAGTACATGGATCGCCATTGTCAGGTACAAAGACAATCCTATAAGAAAGGACCAAGAAGGGGCAGCTAGGTGGCGAAAGAGCACGGCCCTGAATTCACGAGGACCTGAGTTCAAATCCAGCCTCAGACCAAGCATTTGATACTTACTAGCTTGTGTGACCCTGGGCAAGTCACTTAACCCTAATTGCCTAAAAAAAAAAAATGCTAATGAAAATTCAGAGTAGGGGGGGATAGTGTTTTGTTTGAGGAAGAGCATGGAAAGACCATCATCTTGATGGATCAAGAATAAGAGGATAAATAAAGTATAAGAAGACCGGAGAAGTAGGAAGGGGCCAGGTTATGAAGGGCTTAAAAAGCCAAATAGGAGATTTTATATTTGATTCTGGAAATAACAGGGAGCCACTGGAGTTTTTTGAATTAGGGTGGGGGTGAGGTTCCAGAGGGTTAGATCTGCTCTTGAGGAAGATCACCTTGGTGGCTGAGTTGAGGATGGGCTGGAGTGAGAGACTTGAAGGGAGGCAGACCCTCCTCCTCCCATCACTCCAGCAGCTATCACAATAGTATTGCAATAGTACAGTTGTGAGGTGAGGGGGGGCCTGGACCAGAGTGGGGGAAGAGGTGAAATGGCCAGGCCAGGCACACAGCGTGGCTATGGGGTGGGGTGGGGTGGGGAGGAAGGGTTTGGGGAAAGAGACTGAGCTCTGTTTTGGGCAGGTTGGGTTTACCATCCGAAGTGGGCTGCGTGGGCAGCCTCCATCCGTCACCCTTCCATGACAGGAAGGATGGGGGTGCTGGGAGGAGGAGTGGCCTTGGGTTCTGTTCCGGTCCTGGTGAGTTTGGAGGGTCAGACTCGGAATGAAGAGACATGGATCCAAACCCTGCCGCGGACACTTGACCGCAGACCCCGGGCCGTATACGTGGAACCCCTCTGCCCTCCGAGCCCTCCTCTGTGGCATGAGAGCATCCCGGCGGGGATGGCTGTGCCAGCCGTTCAGACGTGAAGGAGCATAACGGGACCCCCGAGAGCCTGGCCCGGGCGGCCCGGATGCAGCCTGTGCCGGGGGGCCTTGGGGCGCCTCGAGCCCTTGGGGCACGCGGGGCTCGGGAGCACGTGCACCACCTCCCTCCTTTCCAGACTCCGCCCCTGCCCCGCCCCCACCTCTCACCTCCCTCCTCTCTCTTCTCCGAGCATGCGCGCCCGCCCCATACCCCGCCCCCTGCCTCCGCCGCCCGCCTCCCACCTCCCTGCTCGCCGCCGCCGAAGTCGCTTCCGGCTGCCAGGGGGCGGGGCCCATCCCGGAAGTGGCGGCTGCGGCGGCGACGGCTACGGCGACGAGCAGCCAGGATCCCGGAGCAGAGGAAGAGTTGGTGTGGAAGGGACCGGGCGTGGAGGCGGTGGCGACATGGCCGTAAACCTGAGTCGGAACGGGCCGGCGCTGCAGGAGGCCTACCGGCAAGTGGTCACCGAGAAGTCACCCACGGACTGGTGAGGGAGGGACGGCTGGGGGAGGGGCAGGGGCTCCTGCAGGCGGTGGGGGGCAGGATGAGAAGGAAAGGAAGGTACCGGGGGGACTCCAGCCGAGGGGAAGGGAGAGGAATGGGGGGCTCCAGAGGGGAGGAGAGTAGGGGGCATAAGGAGGGAGGGGGGTGTAACAGGTCTGGGAACGGAGAGGAGTGGGAAGGGGGCTGGCGTAGAGGCTAAGAGGGTCTGGGGGTGGGGGTGGGAGAGGAATGGGGGGGCATGAGAAGGAGGGAGGGGAGGGGGCTAGGAGGGAGGGAGGTGTAACGGGTCTGGGAGCGAAGAGGAGACGTGAGGGGGGTGCAGAGGCCCAGGAGGGTATGGGAGTGGGGGAGGGAGAAGAATGGGGAGGCTCCAGGGGGAAGGAGAGGAATGAGGGGGCTCCAGGGGGAAGGAGAGTGGGAGGCGTGAGAAGGAGGGAGGGAAGGGGTGCGAATGAAGGCTAGGAGAGGGAGGGGAGGGGATGTAACAGGTCTGGGAGGGAAGAGGAGACGTGAGCGGGGTGCAGAGGCCCAGGAGGGTCTGGGGATGGGGGAGGGAGAGGAATGGGAAGGGCGTGAGAAGGAGGGGGGGGCTGGAAGGGAGGGGGCATAACAGAATTGGGAGCGAAGAGGAGACATGGGGGGTTACATAAGTCCAAGACGGTCTGGGGGTAGGGGAGGGAGAGGGGGCTGGAGGGTGGGCCCGCAGAGGAAGGGGGGAGGCAGAGAAGGACCAGGGACTGGAGTTTGGCAGCTGGAGAATGAGTGCAGAAGGCGGGGCGGGGTCGTCGTTCCGGGGTGCCGGCGTGCTGGGACGGGGGGGGGGGGGGGGGGGGGGGCTTTTGCTGCTGCCTCTGAGTGTCTTCTCCAGGCCTGGGCAGTTTCTCACCCACACACTCCCTCTGCCGGGTGCTGGTGGTGCAATGGGTGTGTCATCGGTGTGGCCTCGGGTGGGGAGGGGAGCTCCAGCTTTTGGGCCACCAGGCACTTCCCTCTTTACCTTCGTTCTCCTGACCACCACCGTCCTCTAAGAGCCTGGGTGGGGGTGGGGGGCTGCCCAGTGAGGCCTGAAGCCAGGACCGTGCTCACTCAGCAGTCTAGGCCTTGGTGCCTTCTGCTTGGCCTGTGCCGCAGACACCATTGTTGCCTCCGTGGGCAGGGGGCTGAGGTTTATTGAAGTTAGAAGAAAGCAGGATGGGCTCTGCACACCCCTTCCCTTCATCTAAGGTATATCAGGCGCCAGCACTCGTCTGCAGAAGGGTTTGAGAACATTTAGTACTTGGCATTTGGGAACCAGCCAAAAGACTTAGAGAGTTTGAGGGAAAAACTGTAAGTTTCCTCTTCTTGCCTTCCTTTTCTGTCTACAGCATTCTCTCATCACTTCCTGGGGACCTTCCTGTTGAATTTCAGACCTTTGCTTTTCTTCCTAATTCCTCCATGAGCTCTGCTTACAGTGCTAAGGCCATCACATCTGCCTCTTCTAAAAGGGTGATCCACAGGATCCATGCCTTGTCAGGAGTGCCTGGAAAGGAATCACTGCATTCTGCATAGAAGTGCTTTGTCTCTTCTATAGAACTGGACTGGGAAATCAAGTTCTGTCTTTTCTGGGAAGGTGCTGATAGGGGCTGGCTGACCCTTTCAGGGCCTCAGTTTTACCAAGAAAAAGGAACATAGGTTTTTTCCAATCCTAGACCCAGATCAGCGAAATAATGTTTCCAAGTATTTGGATGAGAGTTCTGTTCTTTCATTTCCTCAAAACTACAGTGTTACAGTGTATCCTTACTTGCTTACATGACAGTGACTTGTCGGATTTTGAAGTCTGAACAGTCAGCGCACACCTCACTTGAAGGCTGACATTTTGTTGCACTTAGGTCATACTTGTTACTTTGGTAAGGGGTGGAGGGAGCTTTTTAGATGCAGTTGCATTTGTAGTTCTATGTGGTCATTTGCCACTTTCTGCCCCCTCCCCTTTTTGCCTAGATTGTTTATTTCAATTGGCCTGTTTTGAATATTTCCTGTTGTTGGTAAGAAGCTATAAACTCAGCAGAGAATATTAAGGTTGACTGCCTTGGTAACTGACTTACCAATATGATCAGTCAGAAGACCTGGTTTCAGATCCAACCTGCCACTTCACTAGTTCTCTGATCTTAAGTCATTTACCCTCTCAGGCCCCCGGTTTCCTCTCTATCAAATGAGATTGGACCTTCCAGTTCTGACATCCTATGAGTCTGGCTTCAATTTATCTTGGATATGTCAACGGTCAATAAACTTTTATTAAGCACTACTATGTGCCAGGCACTGTGCTAAGCTCGGAGGATAGTTTTTTTTTTTAAAGTCTCTGCCCTCAAGGAGCTTACAATCTAATGGGATAAGGTAACACAAAAGGAAAATGAAGAAGGTGGTGGGGAGGAGGTATCAGAGACGTCCCAAAGTAGTGCATCCAGGTGAGAAATGAGATTTTGAACTGAGCTCTCTCCTTAAGTGGAGGTTTGGAGTTGATGGTCCCACCTTCCATTGAGAGATGAAGATGGTTGTGCTGAGGTGCAGTACCACGGCTGACAATATCTTATAGGATGATGAAGTTATCTGGGCTTGGGGGAGAAGCCCCAGGGTGGTGCAGCCAGATGAAAAATGAGAAATGTATCTTGTTTGTACGACTCTGTTTGCATACACTTTAAGGTGTGCAAATAGATTTACAAATGTTTTTTCATTTGATCCTCACAACAAGCCTGTGATGTAGGTGCTATTATCCCCATTTTATAGATAAGGAAACAGCTTAAGTGAAATTGCATCCACACACAGCTAGTAAGTGTCTGAAACACGATTTGAACTCAGGTCTTCCTAGCTCTAAGTTTAATACTACTGTGCCACCTGTCATATTTAGACTGGGTTTTTTTGGGGGGGGGTTGGTTTTATTTTTTGCAACCCCAGCACTTAGTGTAGTGCTTGGCTCATAGTAGATGCTTAATAAATGTTTATTAACTTGACTTGATGGGACCAAAGTGGAGGTAGGACTCTGAAGGAGTGTAAACAGTCTCTTTATTTGGGAAATAATTTCACAAAATGTAGCACAGGTAAACGTTCAAGGCTGAATTGTTTAAAGGTTCATCTTGTTCTGCCCAGAGAGTTAGGGCCTCTAAGAATGTAGTTCTGTTGCTATGAGACCAATATCTTCAGCCATTATCTCCCGCTCATCTAAATCTTGTGGTTGAGGTTTTCTTATTAATTCTGAATTTCTTTAGTGCATGTCAAGATCTATAGTGCTAGGTTGCTTAGCTCAAAGAATACTTTTTGAACCCTGAGTCTGTACAGGGAAAAGAATTTTTCTCCACCCTGACTCCAGGCTACTTAGGATTGGAGCATAAGAAGATGTAGGTCCCAGAAAACTAATATAGCTACCAACTGTGGTAGTTAAAAAACAGAAAATGAGTTTGCGTGCTCTGCTCACCTCCTCCCTATCCCCACTCTCTCCATTTCTACCTTGCCCTAGGTATCTGGCAGGATACTTGAATCCAATCCACTTGAAACTGTGGATTGGAGAGGGGGATGGGAGTTGGGCAGTGGGAAACTGTAAAATTTTACTTGGAAACACAGTTTAAATTCAAATGCTTCTAGGTCTGGAAAGGTTCTGTTGTTGTTGAGTTTCAGACATGTCCAACCCTCTGTGACCCCATTTGAGCTTTTCTTGGCAAGGATACTGAGTGGTTTACCATTTCCTTCTCCAGCTCATTTTATGTATGAGGAAATTGAGGCAAGCAGGGTTAAGTGACTTGCCCAGGGTCACACAGCTAGTAAGTGTCTGACAGCTAGGTGGTGCAGTGGATAGAGTGCAGGCCTGAAGTCAAGAAGACACCTCTTTGTGAGTTCAAATTTGGCCTTGGAGAAGCTGGAGAAGGAAAGGCAAAGCACTCCTGTATCTTTGCTAAGAAAACCCCCAAAATAGCTTCGTGAAAAGTCAGACACTACTGAGCAACAACAACAATTAAGGAAGGAAACTTTGCAATCTGCTTTAATGATTTTCCTTTGTCTTCTGTTCTCTCTCACTTCTCTACTAATGACATAGAAGTGATATCATCCTCTCTGTGCAGATGACTTCTGAATCTGCACATCTAGCCCTCATCTCTTTCTTGAGCTCCAGTCCTGTGTCTCTTGGGCATGCTGGCCACCTGCCTGTATGGGTCACGGACACCTGAAACTCAGGGTGTCCAAAGAAGAGCTCATTTTCTCTAGCCCAGATCTGATCCCTGTTCCTAGCTTCCCTATTTCTATTGAAGATACCACCATCTTTCCAGTCACCCAACTTTGAAACATCACAGTCGTCCTTGACTCTTCATTCTTCCTCCCCACCCCCACATCTGGTCATTTACCAAGGCTTATAATGTCAGCCTTCACAACAGTCTCTGTCTTTCTACTCTTCCCACAATCATGCTCTTCACCTTTTACTTGGATTGTTCTACAGTTGTCTCCTAGCCTTCAGTCTCTCCCTCCCCCTCTTCTTTCTCCCCCTCCCTCCTACCCCCTCTTCCTCCCTCCTTCCTCAGTAGTGACTCTCTGTGGCCTCCAGGATAAAATATAAAATGGTATTTAAAGCAGTTTGTTTTTGTCCCAGGCTCCCTTTCCCAATTTATTGCACATTATTTCCCTTCATGCTAGCTGAATCTTGTGCATAATATTCCATCTCTTGTTTTCGTGCCCTTGCACAGGCTCCCCCCCCTCCACACACACACACTGAGGTAGGAGGGGCATTGCATCTGTTGCTTGCACATTCAATCATGAAAGCTGTTGTGCTATGGAACGTATTCCGGCACCCACCAGTCTCAGTTAACATTCGTTAAGTGCCTACTAGGTGCCAGGGACTGTGCTAAGCACTGGGGATACAAAAAGAAGCAAAAGATTGTCCCTACCTTCAAGGAGCTCACAACTTAGTGGAGGAGACAACAAGCAAAAAATAGATAAAGCTGGGAAGGCACTAAAAGTAAGAGGAGT